ATTATTATTATTATTGTATATATTATATTATTACTATTATTATAATATTTGAAAAGTTCACGTTCTTTTCTTAATTATACTTTATACTAATTATATTTAACTTTAAAAGAAAAGAAAAAATATATTATTGCGATATAACTCGATTGATTTTTTATTTATTTGTTCTCTCTTTTTTCTTGTTTGTTTTGTAAAACCTTTGATTCTTACAAAATTATATATTACACTATTATATATATGATACCTTAGAAATGAAAATGCAGACACGTCGAAGATAATTAAAAAGTCGTCTGATACTTTCAGTAGCATAATTCATATGGGGCTTCGCGTGTCAAGGGATCGAGCATGTCCATCGAGAAACCCCATATAATACAAGGAAGCCCTCGTAACTTATCTGTCAAGCTCGAAGGGTCAAAAGATATATTTGCGAGAGTAAGAGAGAGAAAGAGAAGTTAAATTATCATAGATCTTGGTCTCTCAAAACTCACATTTCGTGTCTCCAACGTGTTATTACATTTACATTCAAGTTTTGCACGAGATCTCTTCTATATACGTTGTACATTTTCTACTTCAAAGTAAAGCTCTTAACATTTACAGAAAATGTATTTACGGATATATTCCAATTAACTAGATAATTTTTCAATATTTTCGAAAATGTTCTTATATTATAAATACAATAACAATTTTTTTCAAAGTATTTTCATCATACGAATATTCCGATATTTAATAAAATAACAATAAGATTATACGAATATTTGAATAAATTTTTATTTAAAAATACTTTAATCTTCTTATCTAGATATTTTTTTGTTGTTTTTGTTTTCGATATAACTGAATCAATTATTTATTTCCAATGAAATCATTTTTATTTTCCTATAGAGAGAAATAATATCAATGAATCTCATTTTTAGTATAATCAAATAACGATGAAAATAATTTATCCCAATGGTTGAAAAATTAATAATCAATTAAATGCTATGTTAACTTTTTAAGGAAAAAATAAGTATACACCTTTTTCCAAAATCATACAATTGTTTTGCATTCAACTATCGATATAGAAAAAAAAAATAAAATAAAAAATAATAAATTAAATCTCGATCAAATGAATATCTAAAATCAAAATAATTCATTTCACACGTAATATAAAAATGTATAAATTAAATATATATATATATAGAAAATAAAAGAGGTAACCTACATATTTTTGATAATCAATATTTGAGTACGATCAAATGGATTTGAAACGGAACGAAGGAGCATTCCTGAAAAAGATTTTTAACGTTCTTTATCTAAAGAAAATGTTTCTTGCGTATCATTGAATTGATCTATCGAAAAACTCACTCATACTAGTAAAAATAGTACTAGTAGTAATAATAGATTCCTATACCTAGAATGGGAGAATATCAAACAGGAAGGAAACGTGAAAAAGGGGGATAAAGAAAGATAACAAACAAATCAAAACAAAACAAAATAAAAATGTTTAGCAAAAGTTTGATAATGGGGGAGTCCCGTTAAAGTTTTCCTTGAATTCGTGCGCACGTGTTTCGTGAAAATCGCGGGATACTTCTTCTTCTTCTTCTTGAAAGCTTCACGATCGAACGCATTCGTTTGTTTTTTGTCACCAGGATAAAAAAGCTCGCAAGAGCTTTGTGAGTGGAAAGTCGTTCGAAAAGTGCTTGCGACCACTGTAATGTCTATCACTTTCTATATATATCTTTCTCTCTCTATCTTTCACTATTTTGCTATCCAACATTTTCTATCTCACTCCAACCAAGATTAAAGTATCGTGCTACCCAAGCCCATGGGTTTGAATTATTCAAAACGAAAGTTTTCTCTGTGCTACGTGAAAGCTCCCCCTTCACCCTTACCCCCTTCCTACACCATCACTTCTTTTCTTCCACCTTCACCCTTCACAACCACAACCACTATCACCACCCATCAACAATAACACAACCAACAACCACCATTGTTCCTTTTCTTCCAATGTTCGTGTGTGTGTGTGTATGTGTTTGGTGAATTTTTCGATACGCGATATTATATCGATTTACATAATATAAAACAGACAAATTGATGTAACATTTATTGATATTTTTTTCTGTTACAGGATTCGCCCTTATGAGGATCGTCGAGGTTTACAAGGAAATACACGAACAAGAGATGAACATCGTGAGTCATTTTTCTTTATTCTTTTTTAACCCCTCACTCACCCTTATATATCCTCGCATTTGATTTCCTACGTTGATTTTTTCTTTTTTTTTTTTTTTTTTTTCTTTTGCACCATTTTCGATAATGGAAATAAGATCGATATTTGAAAGGGTTTGTGGGAGGGAAGAAATATTGCAAAGAAGTATACATTAGATACTTTTTCCCCGATAGAAATCTGAAGTAACATCCTGTCATATAACGGAAGTAAAACCATATTCGAAATGTGTGAACATTTACAGAGATCTTACTTACCGACTTCCGCTCTCCGACGTTAACGAAAATATAAAGAAAAAAGAAAAAAAAAGAGAAAGAGATAAATATATACATATATATCTTCTGTTTATAATTCACTTATTCATCCAACGATATTATTTCGAAATCATCATTCATTTTTATGCATTTTATTAAATCCGGGATAAGCTCCGAGAGCTTTCGTTCGTTCGTACTTTCGTTCGTTCGACGATGATTGGATTGGAATAAGAAAAAGTAAGAAAGAAAGTAAGAAAGAAAGAAAAAAGTATGAAACGAAGTAAAGGAAGAAGATGGAAAAAAAGAAAGGATAGAAAAAGGTCGAGCGTTTGAATTATTTAAGTAGACCACCTTGGTCGGACGCAATTAAAACTACGAAGATTTATGTGAATCGTGCGAAAGAACGAGATACTGCAGAAGAAAGTGACGGCTAAGGATGGTGCTAGGTGGTTTTGGAATAAAAGGTGGTGGAGTGGTGTAGGACTTGGGAGTAAAGGGGGGGGGGGTGTAAGGGGAAATGAATTGTGAAGGAAGGAAAACGAAGCTCGGTTGGAATATTAATCGAAAAGTTAAAAGAGGGCTCGCTTCTCGTCTCTCGCTTTCGAAGATATATATAAACGGGATGTCTCGCTTTTTGTTTATATGCTATAATATTTTTCTTTTTTTTTTTTTTTTTTTTTTTTTTTTTAAATTAAAGTTTTGGTCTCATTTATTTCACAAATAATTATTTTTTTTTTTTTTTCGTAAGATTAAAAAATGTTTATAAAAATCCCCAAGGAATATCCTAAAGTTGTTTTTCTTTTCTTTTTTTTTTTTCTTTTTCAAATACAACATAACTCAAAGTTTAGAAATGTTACACGTAAGTTTACAACTAACTAACGGTTACATATTATAACACGTGACACGTTGAATATTTAAATGAATATTTTAAGACTAACCAAAGTTATAGGAAATCCACAACTAGCATTTATAAAGTTTATCATCAAATATGGCGTGTTGAAGTTTAGCAACGTTACAACACTGGTATACAGTTACAACAATAACTAATACGTGTTACTTATTTCCTGTTACAGTTACTATACAACTATGATTACTAATACACGTATTACTGTTACACGTATAGCGTGGGGTCTATGTAATATAGTTACAGTTTCCAATTACAGTGTTACATCCACAGTTAAAGTTACTAACGCAGACTGTTACACGGTGTATGACTCGAGGCTTCATAACTCGATAAAATATCGATGAAAAGGGAAGAATTGTTACTTCGTAGGTGTGCTCGTTGGATTTCCTATTATTGGCATTCGTTTACAACTTTATATTTCAACATGGAATATCAATTTTTACGTTAAAAACGTTTAAAGAAATAAGCAAAACAAGAGTAGTAATAAAAAAAGGCAAAATAATACAAGAAAATTGTTATAACTTTGACGACAACTATGAGATGATATTCCTTTTTAACGAGATAGCTGAAAAGAAGAAGAAGAAGAAGAAGAAGAAAAAGAAAAAGAAAAAGAAAGAAAATGTTCATCTTACTTCACCGTCGAGTAATAAGAGCAACAACAATATTGCATTTTTTTTCCAACAATCGATTGTTTATAAAAGTAAGGAAGTAAAAAAGTAAAATACGATCACGGATCATATTTTCTTGTTCTATCGTTAAAAAAAAACATACGATACAACTGGCATATCATTTTTTTTCCTTATTATAATTGTTTCTTTTTTTTTTTATCTTCCTATTACATTTATATCCACGTTCTACGTGTGTGTGTGTGTGTGTGTATTTCCTCGTCTCATCTCCGGTCGCACAAAAGTCCAGAGGAAAACTCTCTTTGATCTATTCCTCCTCCTCCTCCTCTTCCACCCCTCCCTCCCCACCCCGTTTATGCGTCTCTCACCCTCAAGGACAACGCACGGCAACCTGCGCGCGTTATACAACGATTCCGTTTGAAGCTTGAATTCCATTTGAATTGTACGAAGAGTTAACGAAACGCGAGCGCGATTTTTCCAAGCTTACGAAGTGAAATTCCCTTGAACGAGTATCGTTACGAGGAATCATATTTCTCTTTTACCACCTACAACCCCTTTAACAACTCTCACTATTATCCCTTTTTTCCTACCCTTTTCCATAGCTTACATACATACATCACATTCATCTCAAATATCCTAAAAAAAAACCCCACCCACTCTGCACCCCCTTTTTTCCTCATTTATTTTTTACGATCTGTTACGATTGTTTTATTTTTTTATCGTAGAAAAATAAAATAAAATAATATTTATTATTATTATTATTATTATTATTATTGTTAATATAATAAAATTTTGTTCTTATCGAAAATTTTCCTAATATTATTACTAAGTAATAGTTAATAAATAACAGTAGTGTACGAAAATTTATGGTAGGATAACGGTTTAAAATTGACTCTATATATAAGATAGTGAATATTTATGACTGTAATGAAAAATGATGTTAGATTGACTAGTGAACATAACTATCAAGTTCAACGGATAAATAGATTGTTCATTTAATTTAAACCTGTCCCAAAAAAAAAAAACATCCCTAAGAATTAAACTTAGTAATATTATTATTATTGTCCCGTGTTACACAATATTATACAATTTTTCCTTTTTTTTTTTTTTTTATCTCGAAACAATGACAAACAAAAATATGGAATAGGAGGGGTAGGGAGGAAAGGGAAAAGGAAGAAAAATTCTTGAAAAATTCTTTGGCACGCTCTTATCGTCTCCTACGAGTTTATTACTCACTCTTCCAGTTTTCCTACTCGAAATGAGAAAGAGAGAGAGTTGATAAAGATAGAAAAGACAGGAGGTAGGCAAATGGTAGGGGGGGGGGAAGGGGGTAACGCACGTTTCGTCGCGATAACAACGACTATGTTATAACACGACATTACGAAATTACGAGTATGACATTTTGGCCCCGTAAGCTTTATACTTTGTCGAAAAAGGAAAATAATAATAATAAGCGTGTATATACGGTAAACTAACGTTCACCTATACTATTCACGTAGTTGTAACAATAATAATCGAGAAAAAGATTGGGAAATGTTGCGTTGTTTCGTTTCGTTTCGTTATAATACGCGATACGCGTTATTATTAACGGGTCAAACAAATTATTTTACTCGGTTAAAAAAAAAAAAAGTATGATAAAAAAAATTCGCGCGATAATAATCAATTTTTTTGTTGTATTAATAAAAATTCGTATTGCGATAAAATGCAACAGAAATAAATGAATTTTCTCGCGTTAATCGTTTACTAATGATTACTTTTTTATTTCTTTATTTTTTTTTTAATCGATTCTACGAAAAACTTTCGTTCGTTTATTACATCGTTAAATAATTTTGAAATATGTTAATTAGTCATAGTATAATAATTTATACGCCGTTAACATATATATATATATAGAACATATATCATCGTCGTTTTTATTTTTCTTACTCGTTGCAAAATCTTGCAGAATTGTTATTTCTTACGTGAGAGACTAACAACAACCATTTTCTTTTACTACCAGGTCGTAATCTTTATTATTCCCCGGAAGAGAAAATGGTTATTATTATCGAGAGAAAAGCTCGATTTGAATTCCCAAATGTATATGCGCTATGGAATTTTACGAACGATCAGCCTGAAATCCGCAAATGCAATTGCGGTTACATAACTTCTATCTCTCATTCTCTATCTCTATCTCTATCTATGTCTCTATGTCTCTGTCTGTATGTCTGTATGTTTGTCTCTTTATCTCTGTCTCCATTACACCCAATCCCTTTTCGTCTATATCCTACAGTAGTAACAGTTTCCCTCTATTTTAAATCATAGCGGAATGGCATGTTCTCGTTTACGAAATTTCACTCGTATAACGCGATGCGAAGCATTTCCTACCGCGGTATTTTCTTCGAATCGATATCATCATATTTATATTCAATATATAATATATATCACGTCTATATAGTTGAAATCTTTAATATTATCTTACAATCGATCGTTCTATCACTTATCATTAATTATTAATCTTATTTTATTTCGCGTCAATTATTAATAAATAGAAAAAAAAGAAAAAGAAAAAGAAAAATCGCCTGTAGATATGCAACACTTCGTACATCGTCGATAACGTAGTTCTCTGCAATCAATTATCGTCAAATGCTTTTTTGTACTTGTTCAAACGTTGCAATCATTCGTACGATATGTAATAATTGTTCGTAACAAATTATTTATTACTCTTAAATGAAATTAACGAAATTGAATCGTATCAACGATGTATGAAGTGTAATCTACTATCAGGGGGAGTAAAGTAATTTAATAGATATTAAATTTATTTTTACGTCGATTATTTTTCATTACGTCGAAACATTTTTATAAATGACTGAACACGATCGGAATATTTGAATATACATTTTATATATATATATTTTTTTTTTCCCCCGTAATTTTTTTATGTTTTACTTCGTCCTTTTTTTTTTTTTTCTCTTTATGAATTTCATATTTTAGAGCAAAAGATGATGATAAATCTTTCAAGTTGAGACGAGGATGCTTCGGTAGCACGTGTACGTCTCTCTGAACGCAGTTATCTACAAAGTTCCGGAATTGCATTGTCTCCAGTATTCTCCATTTCAGTCGTCGTCCATTTTTCTGTCTTCCTATCTAGGGCTTACATGTAATCCAAAAGCTCTCCTCCGTTAGAATTCATAGAGATTCCCTTC